TGGTTGGAAGAGTATCACTGACTACAATCAAAGTTCAGAAGAAATTTCTCAAACTTTGTGACACATCTCAAGCCATCCAATACCTCCTTATAACAAAAATAAATGGTCTCGCAGTATACAATCTCTTATTTACAAAATTCAATTTAAAATGAACGAGCGTATTACTCTTATCTTGGTCCAAAAAAAAAAAACATATTGCTCTTATTATTGTTTTTTAATAAATAATACTGGTGAAGAAGATGATTTGTGAAAGACAAACAAAAAATAAATAAACTTAGTAAAGAACCCAATGTTTTATTTTTAAGCAAAGTAAAATAAACAATACAACAGAAAAAAAACAAATGCATCGATGCTAACTAGCCTTAAGAAAAATCCATGTTATAAGAAGATGCATAACAAAGAGGCATCTTTCCTTCCATCGGATTGATGGGCAAGGTAATCCACACCGTCCATTTTGGAACTAGTCTGGTCCTCCCATCAATAATAGACTGGTGTAATTTTCAAATAATTTTAAACTCTTAAACAGAGGGTAACAAAATTTTTAGGTAAATCAATTGGGGAAGAAGCCCCCAACACGATTTTTATTAACAAAGATAAAAAAATACAACTCATAATTTTACAATCATGTGATAGGGCATATGTGCCAAATCATGACAAAAATGAAAAAAGATAAAATCCAGCGATCTAGCGTTAAACTGTAGCACCAGAGAAAGACGCAACCTTTTTTGCCAATGAATCCACTAGCATGTTGGCCTTGTGATAGATATGGTAAATGGACTACACGTATGTCATTGACTGCTACCGTGCTGCATTACATCGGCCTTGAACTACTTTGACAAGCAGGGAATGGCACCTTCATCGTCTCTGATTACGCCCCACCCCATGGTGGTTCTGAATTTTGTAGAGAAGCCTCATCAATATTTAGCTTAAAAAACAATTGATATGTTAACCGTACAAATAGGAAGTGGGACATTATGTTGAGGGATCCATCCCCCTAACCACTAATGCTCCAATCCCATTCCCCATATTAACATTAACTAACATTATCATGTAACTCTTTTAAAAAGACAAAAATAATAAAAAATAAATATTTTTACTTTTTTTTTGGGGAGGGGGGTTAGGGAGAAAGCCCTACCCATTTTTCATTAAATAAAGATAGATAAGATATGCAAATATCCTTACTTTGGTAGTATATCTTGCTAGTTTATCCGCCCAGTAGATTATTTAGGATTTTATATGGAGTGTGTACAACATGCTTCCGCAAGAGCATATATCTCACAAGAAGTCCCTCGGGAAAAAGAGTTACTGAGGCGGTTTTCGCCTTGAGCAGTATTCAAATAGTGTTTATTTCAATACTGAAAAAGTTTGTGATGGCCTGGAAATTTTATTTTTATATATAATTATAAAATTTAAAGCTTCAAACTTAGTGTAGCTGATCTATGAACATTTTAAAATCTCGAAAATTGATAGTCCATAAAATGCAAAACAAGATATATTATCTCCAAGGCTTGAAATCTATTTTTCCTCGTGTTCATACATCTTGAGGTTGAGATGATTGATTTAAAGATTTTTGCGCACTGAAACAACCCCTTCTAGTGAATTTTTGAGGTGTGTCTTAATTTGATTGTTTAGGGCCTCACCCTTATATAATTTTTTTCCTTTTTCTAATCCAAATTTGGATCCATCTACGTATTGACTATTTTTTAAAAAGTGAATTTTAAGTTATTGAACATCCAAAATTTGGGATCCAAAAAATATTCCTAACTTGAATTTTATCAGAGGGACTAAATGGACAACATGCTCCCACAGGAGCACCAAATCTACTCACTTTATTTAAGAGGCATCTAAGCCCAACAAGCATAATTACAGCCTCAACATGTCTTATTAGTATATTAATATACACTATGCTCTTATTATTCCTCCAATACCCCTTCTTGAAGTTAACAATGAAAGAGAGAATAAAGTGGTTTTCTTTATCAATATTGGTGTTTAGGTATCTTACTCATCTACTTTCTATTTCCTCTAAATAGTTTAAAATTAAATTACAATCCCTAAACCTAATACCTACCTGAATCTCACTTATTTCTTTCTCATTCTTTTCAGTTAGGTCATGGTCATATAATACAACATGTAAAATGGAGAATTCCCCAATAGCACCAAGCTTTTAACCAAAATGACCATCCCATCCTACATTTTCAAATCAAACAGATTTTCGAACTTGTGTTAAAGAGTTGAGCTATTTAACATCCTACCCATAACTTTTTATCCGAATTCAATTCGCACATCAGTATTTTGATCAAATTCCAAGTAGCCCATTAAACTTTTAGGTATATTTTAGAGTGTATTTTGTAGGGATACAAAATAAATAAATAAATATAATTTGAAATGAGTCAATTTTAGGTTAAAATTGCACATAATGTCGGTCAACTTGAGAGTTTTTATTTTTTATCCAAAATTGCCCCTTGATATGAGGATACCATCCTCGAACTACATTTTAGTTTTATTATTTTTATAGTTTTTTTGATAGTACGGTTGTGCCCTAATATTTGGGGCAACGCCCAGTCGGTCTGATGTTAATATCATTAGACCGCCTTCTGCAATGCTCCTCAAAGCAGTTCGAGGTTGGCATCCTCGGACCACAAAGACTGACTTTGTTAAGCATTCAAAGACTGACTTTGTTAAGCATTCAAAGACGGTCCAAGCTGACCATTCTCAGACCGCCTTCTTTAGTGCTCTTCAGGGCGGATCGAGATTGACATTCTCATACCGCATTAGCTCATTTGTTTGATAAGAAATAAGGCGGTCCGAGGATGCTAACCTCGGATTGCTTTTTGGATTGGGCACTGACCTTACATTAGGGCACTTCCTTACTAACGAAAAAACCATAAATAAAAGGTCATCCTTGGGCTGAGGGGCAAATTTTAAAAATTTTAAAAAACAAGTTGACCGACTTTCTAAGTATTTTTACCCAAAATTGGCCCATTTTGGTTTTTTTGTTTTTTGTGTCCACACATAAAGTACTATATATTTTAATGAGTAATGATCCTATAAGACCCTCCCACATCCATGTGTATAGGACTCCAAAAGATCACCATTAAAGTTAGTACAGATCTCTAGAAAAGTTATCATATGGGTGTGGGACTAGACTTTTTTAGAGATCTGTGCCAAATTTAAAGGTGATCCTTTGATGTCCTACACACATGTGTCAAATTTAAAGGTGATCTTTTGAAGTCTTAACACATGGATGTGGGAAGGTCTCACAAAGTCATTTCTCTATTTTAATAGATATTCTGATTAAATAACATAAAAATGTCATTTTTCATATACAAATCAAGCATTAAAGTGAAGTTTTAGGGATTGCTACAAGTTTCAGGCATTGGGCATCGAGAGAAAATCAAGTGGTACTTTAACAAAATAAATTTTTTATGAGATTAGTAAATTTGTTTATTTACATAAGTGATTTCAAGGAGAAGTATTTGATGCCTTAGGCGATGTAGCTATTGGGCTGCATCCGTTAGTGCATCAAATGTCTGTAAATAAGATGGATTGTTACAAAAAAAATAAATAATAAAAAATTCCTTTACCAAAAATTAAAATAAATAGCATAAAATAGTTGAGAGAAATACTATTTTAATTTTAATTTTATTTGTTTACATTCAAGACTACCGTTATTGAGATTATCACCCCTAAAAGTTTGAATCCAAAATCCCTTCATAAGATAAATTTTTGAAAAAGGGAAATAAATGAGTGGGATAATTCATCACAACCTTATCTGAATTTTAGACTCATTTGACCATTTTATTGAAAAATGATTTTTTTTTATGATGATTTTTCATTTTAATATTTGGGAGATTTGGGATATGTGGGTAATTTTGGAAAGGGATATAATATAGACCAAGGTACTTATAGAAGGAAAAATATTTTATGCGTTGAGTTAAGCAGTCCTCTAATAGATAAAATATATATTAAAAAATAGGGGCCCTACCACATATTAAAATGGATAATGTTGGAAATACATCATAATGAACAATTTTTTTTTGGGAAAATATTAACTATCTATCTTTGTTATATGGTGGTCACAATTAATCTTGACCATTATATGTGAAATTGGGTGGTTGCATTATTTCATTGACGAACTTCAAAGTTCAAAAGAAATTGTTTTGAATTTTGTGACATATGAAAAGATTATAAATACTTATGATCTCTTTGTACCAAATATCAATAGTCTTATTGTATACCATTTTCCTTTTTTTATATTTATGTTCATCATAGTTGAGATTATCTGCCCCTACATATTTTGGATCTAAAATTCACTTTAAGATGAATTTTAAAGGAAAGACTCATTAGGGGTGATGTTTATATAAGGTGTCAACTTTATAATATTGAAGTAAAATGCATATCAAAACTATGCCGAAAATACAGTTTCGGTGCAAAGCTTTGCAATGATATGAAAATCTATTGTTGTCCTGAATTATGAAATTTTAGAAATGGTGATGATCAAGCTGCTCCTTACACATTTGAAAATATTGAAAATAGAAGTTCAAGGTAATATGTTAGAAGATGAACTGTTTTAGTACTAAAAATCTATTTTTTTTACGTCTATGAATTTTGAGGTCGAGATAATCGATTTTAGGATATTTGAGGACATGAACGAACCTTCTCTAATATGGTTTCTAAGTGCACCTTCCGTACAGTATAAAGTTGACACTTTATATAAACGTTTTTCTATAATTGGATATATCGACCGACCGACCAAATTCTTATCTTTGTGATACTCCTTCAAATATGGTTGCCTATTACAGTGTCGCTGCATTATACTACGATACAACCGTTAAAGGAACCACCTACCTTATAAAGTTTTTTTTTAAAGAAGGGGAGGGCATTCTCATAAAAAATGCAGGGGAATTTTAGTCATTTTCTCCACTCCTGGTGTAGATGATAGTCAACATCACAAAGTTATGCACCATACAAGTGGACGCCATGCATCTACCCACCTCTCACCTATCTCTCTCTCTGAGCTCTCGTTATTGTGCCAGAAAAAGGCAGTGGTGTCTGTCTGTCTATAAACGGCCCCCTTTTGCGTTTGATGCAATAAGCAGTTGGACCTCCTCTCTCTCTCTCTCTACAACTTTCTCTCTGGTTTCGTTTTTGTGCAATCGAAAAAGCGTTACGCATGATGTCTCGGGTGGACCTCCACCCGAGTCCACCACCATTCTACTCATCATCACCATCACTGATTGATTATACCGCCCTTTTATCCTCACTTCCTTTCTAACCTTTTATTAATCAAATCTCTCTCTCTCTCTCTCTCTCTACTGTTGCCTGGCGTTTAATCCATCTCCCCTGGCCTCCTGTCTACATTGAAATCATCTTTGTCCTTCTCCCTCTCTAAGCAAACTTCTCTTTCTCGCTCCTTGCCATTTCCCTTCTCTCTCTCTCTCTCTCTCTCTATATCTCTAGAACGAGAGTCTAACCCCTCCCAAGAACACCAGAGAATTGTGCACCGGATCTCCCAATTGGGTTTTCTCAAAAAATGGGCAATAATGGAAGCCGCAGGCGTCGCCACTCCCATCACCACCATTCTCAAACGCCAAACTCTTCTGCCCCTACTATTTCAACCCAAGAACCACCACAACAACAACAACAACCAGATCAGCAGCAACGGCAACGGCAACAACAACAACAACAACATGTAAACCCCTATGTCTTTGCAGCCGCAACCCCTTACCCACCACCCCAATTCCCAAACCCTAACCCTAATAACCATCAGTTTTATCAGTACCCAAATTACTATCCTCCTCCTCCTCCTCTGTCGGTTCCGCTCCCTTCTCCTTATGACCAACATCACCACCACCACAACCATGACAGCCCCCACGCGAATTGGGGCTATGGTGTGCGGCCTCTGAATATGCCCCATGGTCCCACCTCTTGTGTGGAGCACCAGAGGGCGATTACCATAAGGAACGATGTTAATTTGAAGAAGGAGACTCTGAAGATTGAGCCTGATGAGGAACACCCAGGTTCTTATTTGGTGGCATTCACCTTCGACGCAACCGTTTCCGGGAGGTAATGAGATGTTGCCCCCATTCATCTTCCTTCACTATGAACGGGCTTCTTTTTAGTTTTTGGGTCACGTCCATGTATAAAGATGCATGCAATGTATCTGTTACTTTAGACACTTAGACTCTTCTTGATCCCTAACTATTAACTATCAAAAGACCTAGGGCACGCTTGATTGGTGGAGGATGCGACTTCTTCCATAGGAGAGCAAGGAAGCTGATAATTCTCTTTTGACAGCCGCTAGAAGTGGCTACTTTTAAAATAGTGTAGCACTTCCCTATATCAAATATGTGGCTTCCCTATATCACCTAAAACCCCACCTATCTCTTACCTGTGTAGACTGGTTATGTTTGAGCTTGGCTTTATCAAACTTGTATCTATGTCAAGAGCTGGTAAATGAATCCGTGGTATCCATGTCTACATATCCCAGCTTGCTTGGTAATTTTCCTTGAATTTTTTTGGTCTTTTTCTCTATTGTTTATTGTTGTTTTTTCTTGCTTATGACCGGTGGAGAATGCATTGTTTTTTTCTCTCCTATCCTTCTTTTGCCATGGTGATATCCCTCCTCGTTTGTCACCCTTAGACCACTATTTGATTAATTTTGATGGAATTTGTCTGCTAATTGGGCACACTGATATCTAGATTTGCAATGGTTATTTTACTTTTTTAAAGTAGCAAATTGTTTTTTTCTTGCTGGGGTTAGTTTGAGGGCATATCGCTGTTCCGAGGTTGAACCGCATTACACAATCATTTATTTTGTGTTTTGCCTGCTATGGGTGTTAATCTTGTATTCACAAAACGTTGCTTGTTTAGTTATTTGAAGATTGATTATTGATAACGAATAACATGGTTAGCTCTTATGGCATCATGGATAATACGAGGCCTCATAGAGGATGGATTTTTTGCTCACTTTCTTTTTGTTTCTTCTTTATAGCAACTATGGTTTGCATCCTACTTGGGCCTACCTAACCAGCCAGGTCTGGTCAGGTTCAGCTCTGGATAAAAAGATAAATTTGTTATACCATCATCATCATCATCATAGCCTTTTCCTAATTAATTGGGGTCAGCTAGATAAATTTGTTATGTATACCATACAATATACGGGTTTAGTCAACCCCGATCTGACCAATAAGGTCCAGGATGGACCTAGACCTAGGTTTGTTAATAGGCCTATTTCGGGCCTGGTTTTTGTCCAGTTTTGGCCACATGTTCAGGCCCGAAGTTGGGCCTTGGACTTGGTATTCTCGAAATATTTTGGGTTGGGCTTGGCTAGCATTGGCCCTACCCAAGCTCAGTCAAAAACGTTTTTAAGCATATATATTATGTCTAACAAATAATTTTCCCCATGTTCATATAGTGTCCAACCCAATTTTTGGGGCTTGGTCTGGGCTCAAGCCTAGTCATCATGAATTTTGGCTTGGCCCTGGCTAGTCTTGGAACTTATTTTTGGGCCGCGGCCTAGCCTACATTGTTCCAATTAGGGTTGGCCTGGTTTGGCCCGGCATGAACCTGACTTGTTAACAGCCCTACATAAACCAAGATCTGACCCAACCCTCTAGGTCTAATATCTAGATTTGGACAGCTGTTGGGTCGACCCCTCGGGTTGCCGGGTCTTGCTGACCTGGTTGCCTCCCCGCTGCCTCTCTTCAAGATAGATTTTAGATTTCCTCGAAATTTAACAATCGGTCATGGTAGCTTTATCCCCCAGTTTTTTGGTTGGTTTTAGCTTTAATTTTGGACTTCCGAGAATTTGGCTAATTGCATAGTTCTTCATTTTTATTTTCTTTTTGCCTGAATTTGAAAAAATGCATGAGACCTGCAGAAATTTTCTGCTATTTCAGTCCATTGAGCTAAACATGTGTAGATTCTTAACAGAATCAGGCTATCTTGAGTCAAACGGTTTTGAATTTTTTTTTTTTGTGTCCATTTGCAGCCTCTATTGAGGATTAGAAGAGAATTTCTCAGCTGAATTTCATATTTTTGTGGCCTGGCTCCCACGGTATTGCGAGCCGACTCTGATCGGTAAGTGCCTGAGTCAGCACCCAGATCCTTTTTTTTAAACAGTGGTTATAAATTGGTCCCTCAACCATCCAATGCCAATAATCAAAGGTAGGTGCTCCCCCGTCCACTTGGAGTCTATTATTAGGCATTCTAACAAATCCTACAAAGGAGAAGCTTGAGCAAGCATTTCATGAGAGAGGGAGGATCAGTTATCCCTTTCATGTTTGCAAGAAGTGCACTAATATCGATGGGCTGTGACCAAAAAAAAAAAAATTACTATTTAACAATAAAGGGAAAAATAGTTCAAATGCATATAATACAAAACTTCAACCATTTTTTGATGATTTGAACCATGCATCTTGTTGGTCCTCCAATGGATGGGCCTTGATTTTAAAATATTCTTTATTGAACTCAATGAAATGTTTTATGTGCGATTAAAGCTGGCCAATTTCTTGATTCCCAGTCTTAACCAAACAAGGGAATAACCAGCCTCTCTAAGGAAGAGAGAAAGTTATCAGCTCCTAGCGAGTACAACCATCTATTGTGTTACTCAACTTGCCTCGAATAGATCGAGAGAAACAACTCATCATGGTGTGTTAACTGACAATGATAATGATTCTTCTAGTTTTGGACCTTTTTCTTAGTTTTCTCCATATTTGAGAGGAAGGCACACAGCTTTTTTTGTAGGCTATGACCTTTATGCTTTTCCTATTTCTATTATTTTAAAAAATTTCCTTCTATTTTACTTTTTCAATTGTTTCTCTGTGTTCACATGCAAAAATTTAACCTGCATGCCATCTAATAATAATTAAAAAAAAAGGTGCAGCCCACATGTCAGCAACTAGCTATGGACATGGAGAATCATAAAGTGGATTACTATAAAGACATTTGCCTACAATTGGAAAATTGTAGCTTCATTTTATGGACTAATGGACAGAAGTCAATGCAATTTCCTATTTCAGATGTGCACCTTGAAGTTCTATGCTATGTTAGATACATATTTTGTCAACATTGCTCTCTTGTTTCCAATGTTTGTAATATAAATATCCTGTCATCTTCCTTGGGGAACTTTTAATGCATTATCATGGTGCACTTTTGTGTGAATTCATTTTATAGCATGACTGCATTCTGGATATCCCTTGAGCTGCTCTTTTTATTCTTTTTATCAAACAGTTTCACTTCGTTTTATTCATGGATTCAATTTTCATGTCTCGTTTGTGAACAGGATCACTATTTACTTCTTTGCAAAAGAAGGGGCAGACTGTAGCTTGACATCACTGAAGGAAAACTTGCTCCAACCAGTAACAGTGTCCTTTGAACAAGGACTAGGTCAAACGTTTAGGCAACCTTCTGGGACTGGAATTGACTTCTCTCTGCTCTCAGAGGCTGAGCTCACTAAAGATGGCGAAAATGAGGTGTTCCCACTTGCGGTAAAGGCAGATGCTTTACCGCCAGGTGTTAATGGGCCTCCAAATGAAGAGAAGGCTCAGGACACTACACCAGGGGCTGTGAATTCTCAGACTACACAAGCTGTGTTTGAGAAGAAAGAGAATGGAGATTACCAAGTGAGGGTGGTGAAGCAAATATTGTGGGTGAGTGGAATGAGGTATGAGTTACAGGAGATATATGGTATCGGGAATTCAATGGAAAATGATTATGATGGAAATGACCCTGGCAAAGAATGTGTCATTTGCTTGTCAGAGCCAAGAGACACGACTGTGCTCCCCTGCAGGCACATGGTAAACAATTATTTCACTGACTTAATTACTTCAATGGAAAAATATGCTATAATCTGATTATGGAGAACCACAGTCCATTGGGTTTATCACATCTGATAAAATGGGTGGAGATAGACAGAGAGCAGGAGCCATCAGAACGTGATATTGCCACAACTTTTGGGACACTAGTTTCTATGTCCCACATTTTGTTGGACGTGGTTTCCACAATTCCCCCCCTACGGACCATGGTTTGCCTTAGTCCATTGGATTATAGTTTATAGCATAGTTGCACTTCTTTTATATGCATGTGGATGCCCAATCAAGCAAGCACTTTGTGTAGATCAATTATGTACTCGAACTTGATATAGATTTCCTTGCTTGGGGAGGTATGCGGTACGTTTCAATTTTTTACAATCAGGTCATATTCTAGGATGAGTCCCATGAAAGAAAGCTATTACTGCTATAAATTATCAGAAGAGAAAAATGTTGTTGCTCATGGGGAATCAAATGCCGCCTACCCCTTTCTTTGTAGCACCATAATAGTATTGATAACATAGAGTGAGAGGAGCGAGAGGACTTTCTTTTTTTCTTATTCTTTTTGAATGTTACAGAGGACAATTTTATTCCTATATCTTACTCTTTTTTGAGTTTTGTTTTATAAGACAACAGTGAGACTAGCTTTGCTTTATGGGGAGGAATTTTGGGCAATCAAGAAATAGCATACCCATAGGATGAGTGTAGCTGAGATGGATAAGTGGCAAGATAAGAAGGGATAGAATTCGAAATGAATTTCATTTGATAGAACTTAGGTGTGGCTCTAATAGGCGATAAGATGAGAGAAAATAGACTTAGGTGCGCTGGCCATGTGTAGCGTAGACCTAGTACAACCCATGCTAGGAGATGTGAGTTAGTTCAAGTGGAAGGCTCAAAAAGAGCAATGGGTAAGCTCAAAGGATATGGTTGGAAGTAGTGAGAAAATGTATGGGGACTTATGGCCTCACTTGATGGTATGGCCTTTGATAAAACAAAATGGTGGATCAAGATTTGTATCGCGGACTCCAATTAGTTGGGAAAAAGTTATGATGATGATGAGGATGATGATATCCTTTTAAGTTTTATTTCTAGTTATGACAATTATATTATCACATATGCTCTCGAAGATTTAGAGAACTAATTAAAGCACAAAACAGAGATAAAAAAATGACAAGGTAATTAATGTAAAGGGTATTAGAACCAAAAGCAATAGAGAAATAACATAAAATAACCTGGAATGCATGGCAAAACTCATTCTTGTTCAACTTTTCATGCTGCATGTCCTATTTTCTAGCTTGTGACAGAACCAGTTGTGTTGTTGAAAGGTTTAGGGAATATAAATAGAAGGATGAAAAGTGAGAAAAACCAATTTCTCATCTAGAAGACTATATATCAGGAAGCCCATAAAAAACATGGTCAGAATTGGCAAATGCGAGAACAACAATTATAAACTTGGGATATAGATTGGAAGTATTAAATCCTAAAGAATAAATAGAGATCGATACCATGAAAAATGTGCATAGAAATAAATATGTGAAAAATGCAGGAAGAGATGTCCTGGAAAACAAAATATAATATAATGAGGATCTTTGTTCAGAGACTGTATTTAGGTATGGGATGTGTGCCATATTGGTTTTGTTATTGGTGATGGTGGTTGAAGGTTTTACCCCCTTGGCTATATCCTTCATTGTGGTGAACAATTCCACTTGCTGCCTATCTGCTAGCTCGAGGCTTGAGATGGGCATCTTGTTTTACAGGCCCCAAGTTGTCTCATGGATAGGGCACAATTCTGGGGCGGGTTGTTCTGCTGGTGGAAACTAAATTTGTTTGAGCTGTGCTAAGCCTCCATGCACTGTGTTTATTTCCAAATCCTTGGAAGGTGGTTGAGAAACCTGAAAGAGAACCAGTCAACAAGCATTATATGCCATCCTTTTCTCTTCTAAAGTAAGTATTACTTGTTTAGTTTAATTGGGAGGTGATATAAGGGTCAACCTTCCTCCTATGTGTCTTACCATAAATATGATTTATATGCATTTGGAGATTCATAGCTATCCGATTTTGATCGGCTAGGTGGGAATGAGCCAAAACAATGTCAGAAGGTAGTATTAGCTATGTTATCAGGCTATAGTTAATGCATGATATTGTTGTCTGCTTACTCCTAACTGTTTGATCTTGACGATATAGTTGAATGTCTCCAAATACATGTAGATTATATGTGGGTGGAGAAACATAAAAAACTCTCCCATATATAAATGTGTCCAGGTGTGTGTGCTAATATTAATGGATGTGCATGTGGGGTTTCTTTGTCTATGCATTGTTTTACTCTTTGCATGCTTTAATACGAGGGTGACCTTGTCTTTGCATCAACATAGTTTTTGCCCTGTGGATGCTGATATGGATTGTGCTGTATGTGTGGGTACCTTGTTTTGGCATTATGCTAGTCTTTGAAAACCTGGACTAGAGCTAGGACTCGCCAGGGTCTCGAGCCTGAGTCAGAATCTGACCGAGTCCCAATAAAAATTCTATAAGAAATCATGACCTCGCATTGGACTTGCCTGTTTCTTGGTATTAGTCATATGGACCTGGCAGGGTGTCAGGTTCAAGCGACTTGGATGAGTCCGAACCCTAGTCAATGATTTTATTTCCACTGGTCTATGCAAATGCATTGATTTTATATATGCTGATTGTTTGCCGCATGGATGCTGCAGTGCATGTGCAGTGGATGCGCAAAGGTTCTCCGTTTCCAGACGAGCCGTTGCCCCATATGTCGCCAGCCGGTGGAGCGGCTCTTGGAGATCAAAGTCACAAAACCCGACGAGGAATGAATATCAAGGTCCACTACTTTGAATCTTTGTAAATTCTCATTCTGTATTTTGAGGCTAGGGGGTGGTGAATCAGTGCCCCTTCTTATATAAAAGCGTATTGTTCTCGGCAACTGGTTTTCTCGGCAACTGGTTTGCTTTGGCATCCTTGGCTTCTTGTAAGAAGACTGATACATGTGGGGAAGGAAGCACATGAAATGGTTGGTTTACTTCGCCAAAAAGTCGGTGAAAGATGCCGGATTCGGGCTTCCCGGCTTTTTGCAATGGGAAAGGTTTCTTGTTTATAAAATTTAAATTTGAATGCTAAAGTTGGGTTGTATGTAGAGGGATTCTTGAGCCTTGGACCGGTGGAATTTCATTCCTGTGTGACTTTGTGTTAATAGAGAATTTAGAAATCTATCTCCAGGTATGGGACTTGAGGCTTGTGTTGTGTTTAATAGATAGATTAGAAATGTATCTCCAGGTATTGGACTCTGTAGTTGCGTTAGTGTGATGGCTTTTTTCGTTGGGTGTTGAATGGATAAATTAGAACTCAAGGCTTGTAATAGTTCAGCATGGAAGATGACTTCCTATCTTGTTTAGTTAATACAAGTGGATTTGCCCATTGTGAAATATGCCCCCCTCTCTCTCTCTCTCTCTCTCTCTCTATATATATATATATATATATATATATATATATAAGTGTTTTGCTTTTGTAAATCCAATGTCCATACCAAAACACTTATCTTTTTCAATTTAGAAAGTGGTTTGGATATTGGACGTTCAACATGGCTTTTAAAAAAACAAATAGGTTCATATATCATTATCATCATAACATTATCTTAATTAATTAGGTCGACTATACAAATCTTACTTTATCAATAAGCGATACCTTCAATAAAGTTATGAGTTCCAATACCTTTTTTCAATATTTCTATCCATATCATGTGGCTTAAAGAAAAAACTCTACTTTAGTTCCCTACCTAACACAATCTTCCTCTTTTTACAAAGGCTTGGAGCGGGTATTGACCAGCAAGTGGCCGTCAAGGCAGATTTAAACAAATGAGTTCACACATCCACTATCTAAATAGCTTTTTCACTCAAAAAAAATGAAAGATCTTGTTCAAATATTGAATATACGAGTGAAGGGTAACAATAATAAATAAATAAATAAGAAAAAGAAAAAGCGAAACTTTAACATGAAATAAGAAATTGAAGACCTTTTCACTTCAAAATAATTAAATAAGACTCGTGCAAAAATCCTAAAACAAAAAAAACCAAAGTAAGCGACGTACTTATGAGATGTACGATCAGAGAGAGTCGAGCCTTATCCATGTAATTCAACGTTCCATGGGCCCAATCCATCACCTCCCATCAATCGATTGGACGGTGATCGCTTTTCCAATCATGTGAAATAACTTTACTATCATCATGAGTAGGATGCCTTTCCCATGACCTTTCTCCTAGCATTAAAAAAAAAAAGGACATGACCCACATGGATTTGGGGCTCCATTATCCGGCCCTTTAAATGGACGGTAGAGATGATCCATAGTTGCAGTTTTACATGGAGTTCGGATCGTCTAGACCATCCGGGATAGCATTCGACTATGAAGATCAGCGTCCTATAGGTATTCTGTAGAACCACTTTCAGACAATTACGCTCCATATATTTGGGGCTTAAGCGAAGGCCTATTTTTGTCCAAACTTTTTAAGGATAAAGTTCGTATAAAGCGCCCATATTATACTATACAAGTAAGGCGTGTTTCAAAAACCCACCGTCGAAAAAGATTGTTCTAAAGGTGGAAAACCCTCCAATTGATCATCTCGATCTCGAGATATATGGATTTTAAAAAAACAAAAAAATTTAAATCCTACAAATAATATCTATTGTGATGTATTATTTAGACTATTAATTCTCATAGGAATCGGGCTTGGGTCAAGACGGTAGGTTGGATTTTCACAGCCCAACGTCTCAAGTTCCATTTTTATGTCACCTTGTCAAAAACCAAAGACAGTTAATTCTCAAAATTTTCAATGTATATAGAAATTGGTTGTGAGCATAAAGTACAATAGCAAGCTTTCTATGCTTCCCCTATAGCATAGAAGTTCTGTCCTCCCCTTATCCAACCGTCTATTCTGAATGGAGGGTTAAGCTTGCCCCAATCACAATGTCACGTCTTTACACTATTTTATTTTTAATTTTTTTTCTATAAACTATTTTGATAGTAAATTTTGGACGTCCATTCCTCTATTATACTCGCACTAGCAAAAAATATAAAAAAAATTATTTTCAATAAAATAAAATAACTAAAATACCCCTGAAAGTTTCAAGGGGTACTTTGGTTATGATATTTTATCGAAAAATTATTTTTAATATTTTTTATAGGTGCGTCCCAATGAGAAGATGGCACATACCAAATTTCATATTCATACAATTTGTATAAAAAAACTAAAAAAAAAAAATAACTTTGAGACGTCGGATCTAAGATGAATTGGTGAGTGGCTCTCTTGATGAATTTATATGGAAACACTTCCTAACTTTATGTTGAAGGTATGAGTTTTTGGTACTACATTGAGGAATAAAGAAAGGAAAGTTGTGAATTTATATGGAAATACTTTCTAGTTTTATGTACATGAAACAAAGGGAAAAACATGGTTCATGAGCATGTCCTAAAGGATTTGAAGTACACTTTGCACTTTGCATGTTCACAGAGACAACCTTTAGCTGTAGCTAAGCAGTTATTTTCTGTCACACCCCAAGAATTTATAATATTGTTATTCCTGAGATGTGACAGACAAAACATATATACATCTATTGATAGGACTAAATTTACAGTGGCGAGGTCTACAAAGTAAATAAAGAAAGCTAGCAACAACAACAGTATACTTCCAAAGGTTG